GAAAATGTATTTTTAAAATCATCTTTATTTTCTGTCTGTGGTCATGTGTGTGAGGGTACACACGTGTGCATGTGTGTGTGGAAGCCGGAGGACACCCTCAGGTGTTACTCCTCAAGCACCTTTCCCCTTTTTCTGTTTTGTTTGTTTGGTCAGTTGGCTGATTTTTGTTTTTTGAGATGGTTTGGTTTCCCTGTGTAACATCCCTAGCTGTCCCAGAACTCCATTTGTACACCAGGCTGGCCTTGAACTCACAGAGATCCCCCTGCCTCTTCCTCTCAAATTCTAGGATTAAAGGCGTGCGCCACCACCACCCAGCCCTTCTTCTGTTTTTAGACATAGCTCTGGCCTGGAACTCACCCAGTAGCATAGCCCAACTGGCTTATTTAAATTCCATCCCTGAGTTCTCAGTGCTGGACAAGGACATGGAACTCAAGTCCTTGTGTTTTTGAGGGGAGCACGTTACTGACTGAGCTACCTCCCCAGCCCGGAAAATGTACTTTTAAATCTCCCCTAGATCCATGTGTGGTGGCGCATAATTATAATCTCAGAACTTGAGAGGCAGAGGCAAGAGGAGCTAACGTTCAATGTCAACCTTGGCTACATGGAACTGTGTTTCCAAAAAACGAAGTAATAATAATGTTGATGATGAATAAAAATTTTAAATGTGTCCTTCAAAATCTCCACACTTCTTAAAACCTATGTAGAAATGGAGTTCTAATGATACAGAGTAAATTGTAGCATCAAGAATTAAAGTGTCAGGAAAACAAAGCAGGGCAGGATCCCTCAAGAAATCTTACTGCTGCCAGGCAGCAGTGGTCCTGGCCTTTAATCCCAGCATTTGAGAGGCAGAGAGAGGCAGGCGGATCTCTGTGAGTTCAAGGCCAGCCTGATCTACAAAGCAAGTTCCAGAACAGCCAGGGCTGTTACACAGAGAAACCCTGTCTCAAAGAAAACAACAACAACAAAAAAACCAAAACAACAACAACAAACAAAAACCAAAAACAAAAACAAAAAGAAAAGAAAAGAAAATCCAGTGGGGAAAACACAATCTTCCCAAACACATCCCTCTGGGAGGTGAGGTAACAACAAACTAGGGAAACAGGCCACCTTTAAATAAAATAAAATACTTCTGCAATAAAAGGAGGCATAAAAAAGTAAAAATATAATAAAAGAAAGCAGGGATATCAGGGGTTCTGGGCCAGATATAGAGAAGGAAACAGACAAAATGTAGAATGCTCTGGAAGTTTAGTATAAGCACCTGTATATTTCTTGGTGTGTTTTAAATTTTCCTAAGCTAAAATCTGAAACAAAATTTTATTTTCAGAGAAGAGTCTCCTTAAATAGCCCATGCTGACCTGGACCTCATGATCACCCTGCCTCATCTTCCTGAGTGCTGAGTGGCAGGGGCCACCACATCTGATAGGACAACATTTTGAATAAGGCCACACAGATTTGTTTTTATCACTCCTGTTTCTCCTCTGGGTTCAACATATTGTACCACTCAGTATTCAATTAGGAAGTCTGGGGACCATCTTTCATTCCTGGAACTCACTCTGTAGCCCAGGTTGGCCTCGAACTCACAGAGATCCGCCTGGCTCTGCCTGCCGAGTGCTGGGATTAAAGGCATGTGCCACCACCACCCAGTTCATTACTGTCTTTACATCACTTCCTATATCCAGTCTGTCAACTAGTTTCCTTGGTCTCACCTCCAGAAGACTCCCATGAGTGGACTCCTGTTCACCACTGGAACCCTCAGAGTTTGCAAAAACCTCAACACCCCTCTCCTTGTGTCTGCTCCTACCCCTCAAGTTGATCTCCACAGGGGAGTCCAGGTAATTTGTTTAAAGTATGATTCCTTCCCTGCCTAGAGCTCTCCAACAGTCCTCCACAACCTTTTTTTTCCCCAGTAAACCTTTTTTTTCCCCAGTGGTGGGGATCAAACTCAGGTCTTGATAGAGTCTATACACGTACTCTACCACTAAACTACATCCACCAGCCCAAGGTTCTGTTTAAGACTGAGTTAAATATTCGCCTGAGAGATCTCCAGGGAAGGTATTAAGAAAGCTGTTTGATGTCTGGGTCTGTCTAACTCAAGGGAAGAATTTACTTGGAAGTTTACACCCTGTGGTAAAAGCTTGTGAGGGAAGTGAAACATGAGGGAACTGCAGTAATACCCAACGTTCGGTACTCAGGGTGGGGGACAGGGGAGGCTCTTTGAAACTGTATCTAGAGGCCACGCCTGCTTAAGGTTTTCTTTCTACTCAGCCACTCGGAGTTTGTGTTGCCTGGAAGTGATGGCACAGATCCCAGGCCAAGCTGTAAGAGAATCAGGGAAGTGGCCTTGGGCAGGGAAGAAAGGGAAGGGAAATGCCAGTGGGTTTTCTTCAACCGGTGAAGATCGGGAATCGACACTGGGGAACAGCAGACTCTTCAGTCAGCCTGTCTTCATAATTAATATACAACCGACTGACTCACTGCCCCTCGCCCTCTGCCCGACTGCCTCGGCTTCCCAAGGTTTACAGACCATGATGTCAGGTCTTTCGGCTGGCTGGCCTCGAGTTCTATTTTATTATTTATTTATTTATTTATTTATTTATTTATTTATTTTTGGTTTTTCGAGACAGGGTTTCACTGTGTAGTTTTGGTGCCTGTCCTGGAGCTCTCGCTGTAGACCAGGCTGGCCCCGAACTCACAGAGATCTGTCTGGCTCTGCCTCCCGAGTGCTGGGATCAAAGGCGTGCGCCTCTTTTTATTTTATTTTAAAAAAAGAATTGTTCTAGATTTATTTATTTTTTGTGCATGAGTGTTTTTGCCCGCAAATGTGTACGTGCACCAGGGGTATGCCTGGTGCCTATGGAGGTCAGAAGAAGGCATCTAATTCCCTGGAACTGGAGTTACACATGTGAACTACCTTTTGGGTGCTGAGAACCAAACTCTGGTCCTATGGAAGAGCAACAAATACTATTAAGGGCTGAGCCATCTCTGGCCCTGGTCTCCATTCTACGGCTTCCACCTAGCAAATGCTGGGATTACAGGTATGAGCATCATGGCCTATCCCATTAGGTTTTTAATTTATTTACTTTTTTTTCTTTAAGACAGGGTCTCTCTATGTAGCCTTGGCTGGCCTCAAACTTGGTGAGGTACACTGCTTCTACCTACCGAGTGCTGGAACTAAAGGCTGGCATAGCCTGACTTGGGCCTTTCTAACTGTCCATTTATAAACCACTTTTCAGAGGGCACATGTTGACAAAATCAAATCTAACTGTTGTACTCAGAGTCCCCCAAAGACCACCCAGAGACCAAATCCGATGCAGAAGCAAGGAGTCTTTTTCAGGAGAGACCCGGAGTAGCAAGGGGGCAGGGTATTTAAGGGGAGTAAAGCAAGAGGGGTTTGGGGCCTACAGACTACATAGGAACAGACTCCATCCAGAGGAGCTGTCCTTGGTCAGCTTGCAGCTGCAAGAAAACTATTATCTCTTTCAGCGGTTGCTGTGGTTACTACATTTTTTCGTTATCATGAACCCGCTAGCTGTAACTTTTCATTGGCTTCTTCTACTATATGGGGACATCTGGCAGGTCTTCCTGTAACTGGAGCTGGGCTCAAGGACGGGGGCTCAAGGGCACATCGTGCTGTGCCATCCTGCTGGGTCTTTTCCACAGCTTGTCATGGCTGCAGAATAGCCAAGGCAGCGGTCCGGGCAGGGTCCTGGGTTCCTCACTAACAACGAAGACGGCTCAATTTCCCGTTCATTTCTAATTTGTGCCCTATGCTTCAGGGCTGTTTTTATTCACCGATACTTAAAAGTCATAAATTTTATTTTTGGAATTTAAAAAAAAAAGGAATTTTGAGACAGTCTCTAAAGTTGCATTTCTTTTCTGACATGCTACAAAACATCCCACGCTCCCTTTCTTCTCCGCCCTCCCTCTCCTCCGATCTCGGGCCTTCGGCCGGAAGTCTCGCGAGAGGTCGCGGTCTCATGAATTCTCCCAGCAGCCCTAGCACTTCCTCTTCCTGTAGGCGGCCTAAGGTGAGCGTTACTCGGCGCCGGGCTCTCGGGACCGAATCCTCCGCCATCGCCGTCCTCCTGTCTTCGGGGGGGTGCTGGCGGCGCGGCCCCCGGGACCTGAGCTCCAGGGACCATGGGTCCTCGCCGCAGGCGGCCGCGCCCTGTGCGGAGGGGCTCGGCGGCGCGTCCGACCCGGAGCCCCGGCTCGCCGCAGGCCTCTGCGGGCCGCGGAGCCGCGTGAGGGGCGGGCGAGGGGTTGGCACGGGGTGACCCGGGGTGACCCGGGCAGAGCGGGACGCCCGAGGCTCGGCTCCGGCGGTGAGTGCCGCCGGGTGGGAGCTTCATTCATTGGAGCGCGGCGGTGTGCCTGGGGCGGCCCGTGGCGCGGGTATGGGGGGGGTGCTGCGGGGTCGGGGCGAAGGAGGGGGTCTGTAGGTGGTTGTGCGTGGATTCCGCCACGGCGTTGGGGTGAGAACAGCCGTGCTCCGGAAGGGACGGCGACGGCCTCGGGCCGCTCGTTCATTCATTAAGCTGTGGGTAGGCAAGGCTGGCATTAAGAAAAAAAAAAAACTCCTGGCAAAGGAAAGATGGCTGCGATGATGTCATTTCTTAGGACACCTTTGGATTGATCATGAAAACAACTATACTCTGAGCAGCTGTTGGTAGTATTTAGCGCGTGTGTGGGCTTTTTGGTGATGAGGTGATTGATGGTAATGATGTGCTCCCAGGTGACCTGTGAAGATGGTTCGCTACTCGCTTGACCCAGAAAACCCTACGAAATGTAAGGACTAACCTGACTGTTTCGGGGGGTTGGGGTTTTTTTTTGAGGGGGAGGGCGTGTGCATAATGCAGCAAAGATGGACTTTTTTTCCCCTTTTGCATTTTTGTAGCATGCAAATCAAGAGGTTCAAATCTTCGGGTTCACTTTAAGGTAAGGAAGCCATGATCATGATAAAGAATTCTAATTTGCTCCTGCATGTCTTTAAAGGGTAGCTGCGGTGATGACTTTCTTAGGACACCTTTGGATTTACCGTGAAAATAAAACACATTCTAAGCAGCCACCTTTTTAACGAGTTGGTTATTGGTGTGTGAATGCTTGAATAAAACTTGCAAATATTGTGGGATACGGGTATATAATTACAGGATAAATGGGGGTTAGATAATTTACTGTGAATTCATCTCCCAATTCTTAAAATTTAATACTTCAGCACTATTAACCAAAACTTTCTGGCTTGTATCAGAACACCCGTGAAACTGCCCAGGCCATCAAGGGTATGCATATCCGAAAAGCCACCAAATATCTGAAAGATGTCACTTTAAAGAAGCAATGTGTGCCTTTCCGGCGGTATAATGGTGGAGTCGGTAGGTGCGCCCAGGTGAGAAATCTGTTGGAAATTCTGAGGAGGGGGATGGTGGGACACTGGGGGCTAAAGTCTCCTTTGTCTCTCTGGTTGCTGTGATGACAATCTTAGGACACCTTTGGATTAACCATGAAATAAAACATGTTCTGAGCAACCTTGGTGTTGGACGTAAGTTCTTAACTGGGTCTAACGCTAATTTATCAAGGAAAGTAACAAACTGCTTCCTCTTTTTCTTTCAGGCCAAACAGTGGGGCTGGACACAGGGCCGGTGGCCTAAAAAGAGTGCTGAATTTTTGCTGCACATGCTTAAGAATGCAGAGAGTAATGCTGAACTTAAGGTACATGAGCCGTTGCCATCCATGTGTATATCTTAAGACAGTTACTTAGATACATACCCTATTCCGTGATTGTCATGTACTGGGAATGGGTGTGCATGCCTTTTTATTGTTTTGGGTTTCAGGTCAGCTTGGTCTACATAGTGAGAAACTGTCTTTTAAAAAGAGCCAAAACACCACTTTTGTCTTGTGCCGCTAGTATCATAGAATTGTGCCTAGAGATGCTCAGAAGCATGGCATGCTGTGTCCTAATAGTCTCCTCTGTCCCCAGTTCTGCAAAAGGAACATCTCCCGCGGCCTGGATGAGTGCAAATCAGGGTGTTGGCACCATAGTCCAAGGCATCCCAAAAGAAACCATGTCTTTTACTCTTTTACCTTATGCCACCATGCACCTTTTGGATAGTGCTAGCCTTAATGGTGTGGTTTGTTGACAATGTTGTGAAGGGAAATGTTGAGTATTGGGTGTTTAGGATGTCTACATTGTATTTGAAAACTTGATTTTTTTCTTTGCAGTAAGGTTATATAGCTTCTAAAATAAAAATAGTACTGTAAGAGAGTAGGAGGCTGGGCAATAGCTAATGTAGCCATCTCTTTCCCCTAACAACCTTGAGGCTTACAGGCAGCATGTATTTTAATACACAGAATTTTATTGTAGCTGAATTTCTTTTTTTTTTTTTTTTTTTGGTTTTTCGAGACAGGGTTTCTCTGTGTAGCTTTGCGCCTTTCCTGGAACTCACTTGGTAGCCCAGGCTGGCCTCGAACTCACAGAGATCCGCCTGGCTCTGCCTCCCGAGTGCTGGGATTAAAGGCGTGCGCCACCACCGCCCGGCGTAGCTGAATTTCTTAAATGGTGCCTTAATAAGGATTGCCTTTCACAGGTGATGTCATTAAGATGGGATTAGCTGGGCAGGAGAGATGGCTCAGGGGTTAAGAGCACTGGCTGCTCTTCCAAAGGTCCTGAGTTCAATTCCCAGCAACCACATGGTGGCTCACAACCATCTGTAATGAGATCTGGCGCCCTCTTCTGGCCTGCAGGAATATGTGCAGTCAGAACACTGTATACACAATAAATAAATCTTTTTAAAAAAAAGATAGGATTAGCTACCTATACTACAGAGTATGACACTGCAGTTCAGACAGCAGGAGCAAAATGATTTAAGGTCAGGCAAGTTAGAGGTTGGAAGCGTTTTCTCAAAACAGATGTTTGATCCCCCCCCCTCCCGTTTCCAGGGTTTGGATGTGGATTCTCTAGTCATTGAACACATCCAGGTGAACAAAGCACCTAAGATGCGCCGACGGACTTACAGAGCTCATGGCCGGATTAACCCATACATGAGCTCCCCCTGCCACATCGAGATGATCCTCACTGAAAAGGAACAAATTGTTCCAAAGCCAGAAGAGGAGGTTGCGCAGAAGAAGAAGGTGAGTTTCTTGGTTGCTGGTATATCGTACTAGAAAGATAATTGAGTGCTGGGATGACTCTTAGGACACAGGCGCCTTTATAATAACCATGGAAGGAACCTATTCTGACCAGCCCTTCGCCCACTTTAATGTGACTTCTGTGGCACTGAGATTAGTCTTTGCACTAGAACACCTCCCTTACAACTGAATAATTTGACTTTTTGCACTTACATGTTGCCATTTCTTTCTTAACCTTCTTAACGCTCTGACCCTTTAATACAGTTCATGTTGTGGTGTCCCCAACATAAACTTGTGCTTTTCTAATGGGTTTAAAGGGGTCACAGTCTGAGAACCGCTTGCTCTGTACTGTTTGCCAGGTGGACTCTTCCTGCCTTCCCTTAGGTGTGAATTTGAGTCCTTCCAAGAATTAACATGTGTTTATTCTAGAAAATTAAATGATCCCTTTCTTTGCCTTTTCAGATATCCCAGAAGAAACTGAAGAAACAAAAACTTATGGCACGGGAATAAATTCTGCATAAAATAAATGCCGCTAAAAGTAAAGGTCTCCTGGTCATCTGTCTAAGCCGTCTCAGACCGCCTGTCAATCACCCTGGTGGGAGGGATGTATGTCATGCTGGAAAGGTTTATTAAAGTGATCGAGCAGGGAAACAGACTGTTGGAAAGCAACTAAGACATGGAAAAATGACTGTCCAGTTTTATTTGCATTTACTGGGGAACTGTAGTGTAGAAGACTATAGGATCTTGGTTATATAATAAATCTGCCTTTAGGGGGAAGAAATTCTTTACCACTGACCCTAATTAAGCTATAATATGCTTAGAATATTTTTATAAGTGATTTGTTAGGGCAGTACCCAAATGTTAAGCTGTATAATTTAAGGATTTTTTTTTAAAGTTATGTGTGTTAGTTAATGCCCCTCTTAGACATGTTTAACATCTTAACTGATTTTGGTGGGAAGGACCACCAAAATTTTCTATCATCAGGGACTTGGAGATAAACTGCTTTAGTGTCATTTCCTGGCCTCTGAGGGCAGCCCAAACAGGTGTACATACACTTAAAAGCCCAAATTTTTTTAAGGCTAGAGAGAAGGGTCAGTGGTTAAAACTGCAGAGGACCAAGATAACCCCTTACTCAAGCTCCAGAGCGTCTGGTACCTTCTTGCCTCCTCAGGTACCCAAACAGTATGTACACATGGAAGACTAGAAATATAAAGTTGGGCTGGAGAGTGGCTCAGAAGTTAAGAGCACTGCCTGTTCTTCCTGAGGTCCTTAGTTCAGTTCCCACCAACCACATGGTGGCTCACAATCTTCTGTAATGAGATCTGGTGCCCTCTTCTGGCCTGCAGACAAAATCTATACATAATATATAATTAATAATACATAATATATATATATTTTAAATCTAAAGTTATAAACTGGCATTACAGAGAGTTTAAGGTAATCTGTTTTGGCCTCCCAAGTAGCTAGGGCTTGACTTAAATTTGTTAGGAATAGAAACTTTGAGGTCCTGCATCCTCTGAGAAACTTGGAAGTGAAGTACTGCACTCCTGAGCTGTCTTCCGTGTACATTTGCCTATTAGGACTGTTCATTTAAATCTAGTTAGTACGATTCCCCCTTGCCGCTGTCTGAAAGCATTTTTCCAGGGTATCTTGTTAAAGAACTGGGCTGGAGGGATGGCTTAGGTGAAGCTGCCAAGCCTGACCACCTGAGTTGAGATACTCAGACCAACATGGTGGTAGAAGAAACTTATTCCCTAATTTCTATGAATACCATGTGATGCAGCACATAAATGTGATCTTTTTCTTTCTGTTATGACATAAGCATGTTTTACTGCAACAATAAATGTTCTTTGTTGTTGCTTCCTGCGAACATTTCATCTACAGGCTCTGTAGGAATAGTTTAATTTCTCTTGGGTAGATCCCCAAGTGTTAAGATAAATTCAGTTATTGTGTCTGACATTGCCAAACAGGCTTCGAGACAGTGTTTCCTCACAGATCCTCCTGCGTCTGCCTGCCCGGTGCTGGGATTTAAGAAGTGTGTCACCGCCGGGCGGTGATGGCGCACGCCTTTAGTCCCAGCACTCGGGAGGCAGAGCCAGGCCGATCCTGGACTACCAAGTGAGTCCCAGGAAAGGATCAAAGCTACACAGAGAAACCCTGTCTCGAAAAACCCCCCCAAAAAAGTGTCACCACTGCCTGGCTGAGACTTCATGTCTCAACCAGCAGTGTGTAAGGGTTCCAAATCCAAAACCTTATCAACGGATTATTCTGAGAGTGTAAAGTGGTGTGCAGCTCAGGGGTTGAGTGGTAGAACCAATTCAACTCCTAGATTTTGGTTAGCTCTACATTTACCTCCTCCGTTAAAGGTGTGTAAATCTCCCAGGTGCTGAGGTGCTCAGAATCCCATCTTCTGGAAGAACATAAGAGCCGTGATTTCAAGACCAGTCTTGAGTGTTTCATGTGTGGAAACCCAAAAAGGTGCACTAGTTTAGCAAATCTGAGCCTGAGAACACTCGTGCCAGGGCCTTAGCTGTGACTGTTGAGTCCCCTGCAGCCCAGCAGGATGCAGTCAGAAGCCAGTCAGGTGCCTGGGAAGTTAGGCTCTGCGCACAGCCCCACCCTTGCCTATACTGGAGGCGCAGAGATCTGTGCACGTCACCGTTACGTTCTGCGCGTCCCCTGTCTGACGCATCCGCCTTTGTCAGCTCCTCGACATATCATTGGCTGTTAGCAGCCTAGCCTCCCGGAAGTGCGGACATTGCTCTGGGCGTCTCGGTGGTGAGTGAGCTTTTGGAGGGGCTGGAGCTCGCGCGTCGGGTCTCTATCTGCGACGCTGTCCGGGGTCCCGGACGGTGCTGTGCGGTGCGCCGGCAGCCTGCCCTCGGCACCGGCCTTCGTCCATCGACCTCGGTGTCTTCCTCCCTCCCTTCCGTGGCGGCGGTTCGGTCGTCATCCTTGGACCCGCACGGTGAGTGCCCCTTCTCTGTGCCGCTGGCCCTTGTTGTCTCCCGACTTTGTGAGCGCTGTCTTTGATTTCCCTTGTTCCTCTCGGTTCCTTCAAGGGAGGTGACTTCGCAGCTCTCCTTAGGCTGTTCTCGGGATCCCTAGCCCTTTCCTCTCTCACTTCCATTGTCTTCCAAGACCAAGTTGAGTGAAAGATTCCATTTTGCTCTCTTTGGCAGCTTGGATAGTAGTTAAAATAGTAGTCTACCTTACCATCTTCTAGACATTTCCACTGCACTTCCTACAGTATGAAATAAAACACCTATCAAAAAAAAGTTACTAGGATTAAGAGACAACACGATTAGCTTTCACTCACTATTAGCTTTCTACTTAAGAGATCCAAAAAGTTTTTATAAAAACCATAATATGGAAGTCGGGAGTGGTGGTGCACACCTTTT